AAAGAGAGAGATTGGGGATTTCCGGCCTCGCTCAGCAACTCTTGACCCTACACAGCTGCCTTGGACAGAGTTGCGCGGCTTAGCTGGGAGGCGAGTCTTCTGGCAATGGCTCTCGGATGTTATCGGCCCCTGCTATCGGGGACTGATTCTGAGACCTTCTGCGAGAAATCGACTACCCAAGCCATGCGAGTCTTTTGCCTCTCCCGTACTGATCTAGGAGAATTCTGAGGGTGGGCTTCACAGGCTGCTCTACGTAGAATTGGTGTACAGTGAGGTTGTACACACAGCCCCTTCTACAACGGGCATTCTTGCTAGAGGTACACAGGTGATGTACACGCTCAGGGAACTCGCAGCTTTTCTCTCCATGCGCACTCCTCCCAAAAGAACCACGCCATCGCTAACTTTTTACACAGCTGTGCATTCCTTGGAGGAACGGCGAGAAAGGATTCTCCACGGCTTAGGGAGTCTCGGACCTTAAGCAAAGAGGACAAGCGGGTCACTCACAGATGTAGTAGTACTCGTGTCCGGCGTGGAACTCGTAGCCGAGCGAGAAGGCGCTGTAGCGCTGAAACTTCTCCGAGAACTTGATGGGGCTGTGCAGGGCGTGCGGGCGGTTGCACTCCCAGCGCTTGAACCCTTGGCTGATGTTGCACGTCCTGTAGCCCTCGTGGTTCACCATGTACAGGATGTACTGCTCCATGCGCCCCTCAGGCACCGAGGAGTTGTAGTGCGGGCAGTAGATGTCCAAGTAGTCGTTGACGTTCACCTGGACCGTGTAGCCCTCTCGGCGCAAGCTGGAGGGAGAACAAAGAAGGGGAGTCAGGATGAAACCCCCCCAAAAAACACCCAGGCAGGATTTATCTCAGCCACTGAGGACAAAATGCCTAAACGCTCAGTCCAAACTGAGGCCTAGTTCTCAATACATAAAGAAGTTGTTGACCAGAAGTCCCTTCAGTATTGAGTAGCCGCAAGCAAGTTCCTTGCATATCCGGGATTAAGGAGAGGGGCTGGTACAACTGAATACGGGACTGCCAGAAGTAGTTTAGGCCCCGGCATTCCCCACTGTAAACATGAAGAACGATTTGTCTCTAAATTTATACCAACCCAGACGCCATTCCCATTTTATCATTCACTGGCCTTTCCCAAGACTCCCCTTTTATCATTCACTGGTGAATTCCAGGTCTACAATTGTGTCCCCACAATCTCCCACCACAAAAATCTCTCCCATTACAAACTAGTTGCACACCTGTCAGCACCAAAGATCCGGGAATACCGGAATTAAACCTACCAGTATAGCCAAATTATAATCATTTGGGGCTGTATGACCCATGGCCACTAGAGGCAATAGAACACAATCGATTCACAGGGTTAGGTCTTTTTCTCTTAGTTTGCTCCTCCCCTTTGCATTGTTGAGATGGATGTTTGGTGGGGAGAATTTCCTCTTCCTTTATGCTTCCTCTCCTTGAGACCTTTAGTTGGGATTTATGAATAGGGTGGCCAGACTGCCCGGTGCAAGCGGGGGTCTCCCGCTTTCGGGCACCCCCCCCAATCGCCCCCTCTTACCAGCAGGAATCTGGAAATCATTGTGACGTGCCTATGAAAACTAGAAGTGATGTATGAATATTGGGGGCAATGCTCTGTTTTCTTGGGCAAAACTATGATTTGAAGCGAATTTAACCATAGAGTTTTGCCCAGAGCATTGCCCCCAGTGTCCCTGACCCTCACATCCTGTTTACGTATGCACATCACAATGCTCCTCCCCTCTCCTGGAAAGTTCTTCCCCTCCCCCTCCCTCACCAGCGCAATGATCGGACCTGGCAACCCAACAAAGCTAACAAAAGACCAGAAAGCCATGAATATAATATGAAAAATTCATAAAAACAGTATGTGAACCCTTAACAAATGTTATGGATGAATAAGAGAATACTAAATGTCTCTGGTGGTGTCAGTCCAATTTCTGAAGACACCTCAAAGTCCTATCAAAATCCCTGTCCGAAGCAGTCCTTCCCAGTGAAGCAATAAAGTTTGATGTTAAGGAAGGAGGGCTTCGGATAGGAATGTTGATAGGACTTTGAGGTGTCTTCAGAAATTGGACTGCCACCACTAGAGACACTTAGTATAATATTCTTCATTCATAACATTTGTTAAGGGTTCACATACTATTTTTTATACATTTTTCGTTATTATATTCACGGGTTTCTGGTCTTTCGTTAATTTTCTCCATGCCGTGAATCTCCTCTTTTTGCTTTGTTAACCCTTTGGATTCTGCCACATTGATGTAACCAGCCCGGAACAGAAATGCTGAACGGTCTGCAGAGGTCTCCCAGATGAGGGGCCACTCAAGATGGGGCTCAAAAGTGGCTTGTAGGGTTGTTAAGAGAAATGGCCTTAATTCCTGTTTACTCAGCTTCTCCCTGAAATCCAGCGATCCCTTCCTTTCCCGCTTTTTTAGGAATCTGGAGTCAGTTTCTCATCAATTCTCTTTGGCTCAAAGAGAAATTCGAAGAGAGGAGGTCCCACAAAAGTTCACTCGGTAGATGCTCGGAGGCAGGCAATGCCGTCCCAAACCTTCCTATCCTCCTGCTACAGCGCCCCCTTGTGTGCACGTGACATCAAAGAACTGCAAGGGCTGAAGTTACAGAGGGAGGATTTCTCTTCAAAGAGAAATGAAAGAGAAATTCCTCTTTTAAAAGAGGAAGACAAGGGAACATGAGGGATCGATGGGTAGATCCAAAAAAGCGAATTTCAGGAAAAAGAAATTCCCCTCCCCAGAACAACGCTTGCGACACCCAACCCATTTCGCCGATCAGCACGGTGCAACCACTCAGGGCCCCTTCAGCAAACCTCCTTGAGCCAGCCTATTCATTTCAACGGGATTCACAGTACAAACCTTCCTGTACCATCCGTCTGTTTTTAATCATTTGAATGATGTGTATTGGGTTTTTAAAAATTTTTTTAACAGCTTTAAGATTTGATTTCATCATGTACGTTTCAATTTGTTAGCTGCCTTGGTGGGTGTGCGAGGGCAGAAAGGCGCGATACAAATTTTATAAAATAATAAAATCGGCATCCTGCTGTTAAACGTGCCCCAATTCGGGGCCGTATCTACACTGGATCTTGGAAGCGGTGGTCAAAAAAAGTACCAGTGCTCATATATAGTTGTGCCAATTCCCCCCAATGTCCCCCTCCACCAGCAGATCTCCACTAACCTGTTCCTGAGAGTCCAAGTCTCTCTTTTTCTATCTGAGCACATGGGGATCAGTACTTGGAAGTGCCCCGAGAAAAGGTGCTGGAACTCAATACCAGTGAATACCACTCCCCTCCCCCAAAGCCCTGGATGTGGTACTCGGCACCAAAATCAGCTCTCGCTCTCTCTCTTTCTAAGCCTCACGGTTGCACAGATATGCTAGGAAGTATGTGACCCAATGAAATCTCAAAAGAGAAAAAGCCTCCTTAAAAACATCCAAATAAGCTACTATATAGTATTATGAGCCCGGACTTGGATAGACCAGGCTAGCTTGATCTCGTCAGATCTCGGAAGCTAAGCAGGGTCAGGCCGCATTAGTGCCTGGCCCATAGCTACAGTGGAGCTATTGGGGGCCCTGCCCCCTTCCTTAAATGGCTTGCCCCCTGCTTCTTAAGGCCCCCCCCCCGCGCTTCTTCCCAAAAGGAATCCTTTAGCTTTTGAAGAGAAGAAGAAGAGAAGAGATTGGATTTATACTACCCTGCCCTTCACTTGGAGTCTCAGAGCGGCTTACAAACTCCTTTCCCTTCCCCTCCCCACAACAGACACCCTGTGAGGTAAAAGAAGAGGAGGAGGAGATTGGATTTATACCCCGCCCTTCAGTACCCAAAGGAGTCTCAGAGCGGCTTACAAACTCCTTTCCCTTCCCCTCCCCACCACAGACACCCTGTGAGGTAGGCGGGGCTGAGAGAGCTCTGACAGAAACTGCTGAGAGAGCTCTGGCAGAAATGGGGGTGGCGCGCACCCCTCTCCCTCCCCTCCCGCAAGATTTAAAGGGCCCTCCAGATGATCAGGGGGCCACGCGCTCCCTGCTGATCAGCTGAAGAGCCGTTTAAATTTTGCAGGACGGGAGGGAGAGGGGCGCGCGCCCCCCCCCTTCATTATAACAAATAATGGTAGCCCTACCAGCCCCGCCAGAAAAAAAATAGCCCCACAAGCCACAAAATCCTGGCTACGGGCCTGATTAGTGCTTGAATGGGAGACCACCAGGGAAGTCCAAGGTCACAAGGCAGAGGCTGGCAGTGACAAACCACCGCTGTCTGTCTCGTGCCATGCGGTCGCCATGAGTCGGCTGCGACTACGTTTTGGGAGAGCCAGGTTTGAACCCCCCACTCGTGCCACAGAAGGTTGCTCGGTACCCATCGGACAGTCACACACTTCCAGCCTCGCCTACCTCGCAGGCTTGTTGCGAGGGTTAAAAAAGAAGAGATGAGAACGATGCAAGCCCCTTTCCCACTGGGGAGGAAGGCGGGAGATAAATAAAGTAAGTCAATCAATCAATCAAATATTATGAAGGAACAGGAGTCCTTTGAATATACGGCAGCATTTTATGGAAAGACGCACGGCCCAACACACTTTGTAGAGGACAGCCGTGTGACCTTCTGCCAAATGGGCCAAACGGCGCACCCAGTGGCAGTGCCAAAAGGGGCAGCACAAGGCCAGAAAGCGATCCATTGTGCTTTGCGGGGCGTTCTGTCCATTTTTATGTCGCAAATTAGAACAATTCCCAGGGCAATCGGGAGAGACGGGAGTTCAGGATCCCCTAAGGGGAAGAAATCACCTCTCACCTCGCCTGTAGACACGGGCCGCTTCTATTCCAGAGCAGAGCACTTCGTGCTCCGAGCTACATCCTGCAAATCAGCCGGCTCCTGGGTTCCAGTCTCCCAGGCACACCCCCACCCCCACACACAAGCCCTCCCTTCCCATGGTGGGCCACCCCCCTCTGCCTCCCCGCAGGTCACCCACAACACAAGCGAGCCTAACGCCATTGGGCGTCTGGGTTGGCGCTGATTGACGGCTGGCGAGATCAGTGTGGACAGGAACAGTCGTCTCCGGAGCAGCCGCAAACTGACGCGACCTGCTGATGGCTGGGCTCGGAAGACTCAGCCGGCCAGACTTCTTTGTGCCGTGACTCCCCTCCGCCCACAACCCTTCTTTCCAGCTGAAACGGGGGCCGCCTGTTCGACCTGGATTGGGGGGCGCGCACCAAACAAGCTGCCGAAGTGTGCGTCTACCAGGCCGGGTCCACTGGACGTGTATGGAAGGAAGCAGGAAAAGAGTAACACGTGCCAAGGTGATCTTAAATCCAACCGCGAGAACGGCTCGGTTATGCCAACTGTAAACATTATGCAAATCGAGCACATTTGCATACATTTCCCCCACTTTCTGCTATTCACGGGGAAGGGTAAAGAGACCTGCAGGGCGGTTCATTAGAGATTTCAATGGTCTGTTGGCTGGGCACTTCCCATGCCTGATTTTACAAGCTTGAGCGCTGGAAACTTATTTCTCGACTTCTTCTGTATCCTGCCTTCCTTCCCGATAGGGACCCTGAAGCAACCTACATCTTTCTCCCCTCCTCCAGTTTGTCTTTACAACACCCCTATAGTCGGTTCAGCTGAGTGTGTGTAACTGGCCGGAGGACACCGAGACACCTTTCATGGCAGAGTGGGGATTGAACCTGGGTCTCTCAGACCTTTTTTTCCCAAGGAAGTGTGAGATCTATGAAATACAATTTTTCCTATCCTATCCTGATTTTGTCTGCAGCTAAGA